CATAATCATCACAATTATGACAAATCACGACTTGAACTATCTTGCTTTGCATGTAATGAGTCTATCTCATATATTAGTGTCACCTTTTAAGTTGCATTATTGAAATAACTGAACTTTTGCACAATATTCTAATTTTTCAAGTTTCACCTGTATATAGGAATATTGAGTATGTTCCCTGTGATCATAAAATGAGACTAAATCTGCCAAGTATTTGTTTTCACTTTTACCGGACATCCCAGAGGAATTTAAATACAGTATGCTGTTAAACGCATTATGTAGCAAGTATAAAATCAAAGAGAAAACATTTACTCAAATGATATAAGCTTTTCCTTCTATTCTATTTCCTTCTATTGCTCCATTTCAATTTAACATCTATAAGTTAGTTAATATGGTGTTATAAAATCAGTAATGTTTGAAGATGTGAATGTATTTTAGTTACATACCAAAAATGTTTTCTCATAAGGGAATAATTATTAGTGGGGTTGAGAATGGAGAGAGGTTAGCAAAAAAAAAACCCTTTCCCTAAATGTTGGAAAGATGGTCTATTCCCATTTTTAAACTTTTTGATTATTGACATGGGTTCTCTTCCAACTTATTGACTACTTCTACAAGGGAAAGACTAATCAAGATTGTTCTATTTGTCAAGGTCTAATGATGTGATTAAAAACTAGATTATTGTTTATATTGGTAGTCTTTGATTTATAACTATAATTTTAAGTCATAATGGTTGTAAAATGAGTTGATCACAAGATTTTATTATTTTGGGGGGACGTGCAGTTAAGCAATGATGCAGTCATTAAGCAAATCAAAACCTGGTTGCTGAAAAGTTGACATAAATACTGTTTTTCAGCAAAACCATTGTAAAAGTCATATGACTCTGGGATGCTGCATAAATTCGGCCCAGGTGCAGAGCCCCTGAGATTCAGTCATGTGATTACAAGGGAAAGGACCGATTATCAGAATTTTGAATCCAGATTTTAAATAGCCCCCATGTAGGCTGTTGTAGCTTTGGTCACTAGGTGATCAAGTCATAGGTTGAGGACTATCTGTATGTAACACAATGTGCACATGATATTATTTCCTTTATATATTTTTCTTTTTTTTATACTAAAACAATTAAATAAATGCACAATCCCTATATATTATTAAGATTACTCTTATTGTTAAAAAAATAAATGCAATTAGTGAATAGCAAATCCTTAAGGGTTTAGTTATTTGCCTCTCCAGAAGTGGTTCCTAGGAATATTTGCCAAACCAATATCCTACATAGCTTGTGGGAATTGGAATATAGCAATTGGAAGACTAGATTTCACCAGGCTATTATTATTGACTATGATGACAACAAGATGATGCAAACATTGGTCTCACTCATTTTTCCCATAGCAGCACTTTGACACCACACATCTCACACCTGAGTGTCTAAGGCGGTGCATAGAAATGCCCTGTAAAAATTCTCAATCAAATTGGTGTATACCAAAACTCAATGAGTTTCTCCAAACTGATCAAGGGAAGAGAAAATTGATCAAACAATTTGCAAGAAGTTTTAAGAGATTGTTATTATTGTTTTAGCGATGATGGTAGAACTGAGACTGAAAAACTTCCACAGCAGAAATTCCTTACTGGTGTCTTTCTTCAGGATTTAAGTAAAGCCAGAGAAGCTCCAGACCTCTGGAGAAATAACTTTGCAATTAAAAGCCAGGATCTTCATGCAAATCCTTCAAGAAGCCCTCTCAATAACAAAAAACCTCTCACTTATTCCACTTTGAATAAGAGCTTTGAAATGCTCTTCTCCTTTGGCAGAAAAATTGAAAGCATTTTTTTTCTTTAGGAGAACTTGGGGGGGGGGACTAAATTTCTTCGCCAGTCACTAGGTGAGGAAGCCAGGGATCTCCTAGCAAAAAAGCCAGTGGTGAAATTCAATTTTTTTACTACCTGTTCTATGGGCGTGGCTTGGTAGGCGTGGCAAGGGAAGGATAGCGCAAAATCCCAATACTCTGGGGCCAGCCAGAGGTGGCATTTGCCGGTTCTGCGAACTACTCAAAATTTCCGCTACCGGTTCTCCAGAGCCTGTCAGAACCTGCTGAATTTCACCCCTGAAAAAAATCCCAGCCCAATCACACAATCGTGGCACAGGATGGTTTTCTAGGTCTTTCTAGAGCGATACACCAACGAGATCCTTTCTGTCCAACCAAACGCCTAGAGGTGCAGCGCTAGATTCGGGCTTCTCCGGCGACCTCCCTCCTCCGTGTAAGGGAAATGCAAGATGCTCCCAGGTCTTTCCCGACTCCAGAGACAGAGCCTCCCCGCGTTTGGAAGCGAGCTGCCCGATATTTTTGAAAAGGGGTCGGCGGGGCCGAGGTCTTTGGAGCTCTCCGCTTTTCGAAGGCAAGGAACTGAAACTTCTCTTTCGCCCTCGTCCTCGACTTTCCGCCCCCTCCCCGGTGCTGGTGTCGCTGTTGCTGAAGGGAAGTGAAAATGAAATCGGCTTTTCTGAGAAATGATGAAAGCGGCCGAGCCCGCCAATGAGCATCTGCGCCCAACTTCCGCACCTCTTTCACTCCAGCCCCCACCTCCCTTCTGCACAAACAGGCCTCGGAGAGGTGGAGGAGAAAGGGAGGGGGGGAAGAAGGGAAGGGAGGAGGAGGAGGAATTTCCAAGATTGGACTCCTCGCTGCTTCTCGCCTTGTTTTGCTTTCGATCTGGCGTCAGGACTAATCCCCGCCAAATACAGAGGAGGAATAACTTTTAGTTTTGCTCCCGCGATTTATTCCGCCGCCGGTTTTCCTTTCCATTTTGCGTCTCTTGGCAACCGTGACAACCTTGAGGAATTACATAAATACCGGGAAACACATAATTGGTAAGGTAAATCCAGAGCAATCTTCTTCTTTTTTTACCAAGATCCAATGACGGTACACATTTCTTTCATCTGATTTTGCCTTTATGCCTATGCTGGACCCAAATGCAAAGGCCGTGGCGGGTCATATGATTTTAGGCGCAGCTACTGGCAAGAGAAAGCAGGGCTTTTAATTTCACTTTTGGATTTGCAGGGAAGAGAGCCACGGGAAGGACGCCTTTCTCTTTCAGGCTACGAAATCGAGGACGGAGCTGGGGTGGGGACGGCAGGCGCGGCGGCGAAACATGTCAGCGGCAGAAAGCCCAAAGCTGAGAGTCCCTCTGGCTCTCCTCTCAGCCTCGGCAGGGCGCGGAGAAGCTGAAGGGAAGTGAAGTGGGCTTTGGGAGTGCGCAAAAACTCTCGGAATGTCACCGCCGAGACGGTTCTCGACAGGCGGGGATCTCTCCCCCCCCCCTGCAACTTTCCTTCAACCCCAGCGGAGTCGGGCTCATGGAGTTGCGGCACGGCCGCTGCTTTGCCACCCACTGGCCAGGCGGACAGTCTTTCTGGTAACCGGAAAATCGAGGTGAGCACGCGAGCCAGCAGCCCTCTCCGTTGTTTTCCCTTCTCGGGCAGGGAAAGGCGTGCGAGTCGGGGGAGACATTGGCCTTCTCGGTCCCCACCCTTGCAGGACTTTGGACCCGTTCGTGGCGGGATCGGGCCCTGTTGGGAGGCGCTGCCAAGAGCGCCCCGGGCGGGGAAGATTTTTTCGTTTGATTCCCCTTGATGTATGTGCTGCAAGGGAAAGGAGGGCACGGAAGGGGGGGCATAAGTGGGCATCTTAGGGAAGGGAGCATTTTGCTATCCCCCTCTCCCCGGCAGGCTCCGCATCAACCTTCGCTGCGGGCAACCGAGAGGAAGAGGGCAGCAGCTCCGATCGGGGCAGCCCTGCCGAGGGGAAGGGGGAAGAGACGGTCATTTTCTCCTAACAAGTCATTGGTGCTTTGGAGAAGAACCAGGAGGGGCCGCCGTGTCAGCATAATGCGCTCCCCCTCCCCCCAATATCCCGCGAAGGCGGCTGTTACACAAGCCAGCTGGGTCACTTCCTTTTCTCAGCGGCCGGGTCAAATCGTGACGTAGAAGCTCGTCTGGCCAATCGGGGAACGGATCGTTGGCGTTAGAACGCCCCGCTTGATACTTTTACCGCTCGCGCGCTGCGTCGGGTTCCAGGAAGCAGGGATGGAGAAAGGGCCCAAAGGGAGCCCGACGCCTCCCAGGCGATGATCGGACGATTTTCGAGTGGGGAGTGTGGAAGTCTTCCCGAGCCTGATGCCTCCTAAGTGTGTTAAATTTCAGGCTCCTTCCCCTTTTGAAAAAAATACGGCTGAGAATATGGTAGATGTTAAAGCCTTGTACATCTGGTACCTAGAACACATCTCTATGGAAATTCTCAGTCATCCAGGTCATGGTTGTCCCAAAGGTGCTTTTTTCCCCAAGAAGCAACTGGACTTTCAGGGTTTTTTTTTGAAGACGTTTCACTTCTCACAGATCAGGTGCATGGACTGTCCTTTTGTGCTTCAGCTCTTTCCGAAAACAGGTCCTTTAGAAATGGCTCTAAAGCAGTGTTTCCCAACCTCGGCAACTTGAAGATGTCTGGACTTCAACTCCAGAGATCTTCAAGTTGCCGAGGTTGGGAAACACTGCTCTAAAGGATTCTGATGGTGGCACTACTAAATCAAACCTTTTTATGCTGATTGAATTGATGTGGGGTATCTTTCACTGTGCTTTAAGTCTTACACATTTGTGAGGGTTTAGCCACTTGTGCGAGACGGTTTGGTCCAGTGGTGTAGGTACCTGGTTAAAAACCAGGAGATTGTGAGTTTTAGTCCTGGTTAGGCATGAAAGAAGGCCTTGCAGGGTTGTTGTTGTGGGGAAAACAGGAGGAGGGAGGTTTATTTGGTATGTTTGCCACCTTGAGTTAGGTACCTCAAAAAGCAAAGCAGGATTGGGCCTGGTTTGACCAAGAATAGAAGACCACTAGAAAATGCCTGGCTAGATTGGAAAAAGACTCCAGAAGAAGGGAATGACAGATCTTATTGTTCATATAATTTTACATATCTCGAAACACACACAGTATTACCACAATTAATCACTTGGGTGGGTTTGGGCTGCCAATGATGTGAATGGAAGCAGCCTTGGAGATGCCAGTAGCACAATCCATACAAATACTGTTTTCAGTACTATACTTGAAACAAATATTTTTTTTAGAGACTACTGAGTCTTAAAAAATAGGTCATCCTGAGTTTTGCAAGCAGCGATTAAAATCTAGTATTAATATGTTTCCTTACTACACTATACATAAACAGATTAAAAGGCATGGAACATTAAAGTTAATGTTCTGTAATTTTTTAAAAATACAATAAATTTTTCTTATGAATTGATGTGCATAAGAACAAAGCCATATAATTTACCATATTTTTTCTGGTTTCCAAATTGTATTTTGCAATGAGTACCATTGCCTTTTTCTTTGTGGTAGAAAAGGTTATTCAGGAAGATTAGGCTGTTTGGAAGATAAGGAACATTTATGGTTTCAATGTAGAAAATATTCTGGTGTTTTATTGACATCAGTAAGACAACTTATGAAATAACTATAATGAAATGAATACATCTGAAATTTGAAAATTGAAAAGGCGGATTTAATCTGTTTGTTGGAAGAAGACATGTTACTTCTGGCATTATGGCAAGATATGCAGCTTCATTTGTATTTCTTAGATTTCATAAAACATTTTTAAGTTACGTCCTTAGCTTAAGCTCCTTTACTCTTTGAACATAAAGCTTTATGTGCTATACATGGGTATACAAAAATGAAATAGAAGTATAATTTTTAAGCAATTCTAAGCTATGACTTTGTTTATACAGCTCAAATATATATTTTATATATGTATGTATGTACCTACGTATATACGTATGTACATATATGTAGACATTATATATAAAATTCATAAAATATATGTATTTTAAATACTGTGTTTGCCCCCAAATAAGACCTACTCTGAAAATAAAACAGCCTGCTTTTAAAACATGTGCTTAATATAAGCCCTACCCCCCAAAATAAGCCCTAGTGAAGGGGGTAGACGTGGCCAGAACAGGAGGCAGAGAGTAAACATTGGTTTCCTGTCCAAGCAGCAGGCAGAGTTGGGGAGGCACACAATCTGGATGTGCTGTGTTGGCTGTGGGAAAACAGAGTTGAGCCAGAGCGGCAACTGGCCAGAGGAAGCTTATATTCGTGCAGTGGCACCGGCAGCAGATGGAGGAAGAGATGCAGGGGGGAATGCAAGCAATATGGACATGATGTAAGAGTCACAGGAAAGCTGAGAGCTGGTGGGCCAGAGTGGGTAGGCAGCCACAGGAGGCTTGCCTTCACGTCTCTTGGCTTGCCTGTGGTCTGTGCAGCACATCCGAATCGCCCGTTTTCCATCCTGTACCTCTACTTCCGTCTACTGCCAGTACTGCTGCATGAAAATGAGTCTCCCGCAGACAGACAGCTACTCCGGCCCACCAACTTGGCTTTTCCGCTGCGTGTTTGGCTTTCCTGCCCCCCCCCCCGCACCTCTGCCCCTGTTGCTTGAATAGGAAATCAACTCATTTGCGCTGTGCGAGTTATACAGCTTCATAGTGCGCCAACCAAGGGAACGACTGGCTGAAGCTCCTGCCAGATACCATTGGTCCCCATGTGTGTTTGCTTCCTCTTGTGCGCACATCAGGAGGGCGGGGTGCCCAACCCAGGTGATCAGCCTGAAATCATGTTTCCCCAAAAATAAGCTCTACTGCTTATTTTGGAGCCCCAAAAATATAAGACCAAGTCTTCTATTTTCAGGGAAACACAGGTACAGAATGAATATATATTAGAATACTCTTAGGAAAATCTGTAGCAAAATAGTAGCATTCATGAGAAATATCTACAGTAATGTCATCATGAATCAAAATAGTATCTAATCTCTTGATATAAAACTTTAATTTAGAGGATGTTCTATATAAAAAATAATAATTTCCAAGCTAAATAGTTTATCTTATTGATAAAAGTACAAATAATTAGCTGAACAAATGAGCTATAAGTTACAAGATAGTAAAAAAAATCTTGAAAACAACATCTTCTACTCTTTCTTAATTAATACCAATACCTGGTTTGCTAAAACCAGATCTGCCTTCCTTTCACCTGTTGTGTATTTCTACCCACTGGAGGAAGAAATCTTCTTGCGTTTGATGCTTTTGGGGGGATGTAAATAGAAGTAAAGGTAGCAAAGGGGCGGTTTTCAGTCCACCCTAAAACATCTGTGGGAAACTGATTTTATGGGGAAGTTACATCTCCTACTTTAAGAACAATAGCAATAGCAATAGCAGTTAGACTTATATA